GGAATGCAAATGAATATTTATCTTTCAAATGTCTAATGGGCTATCGTGGGCTGGAGATTCATTCATTGCATATCAGACCCCTTCAAATGGTATGAGAACAAGTGCAACATCCCTTATGGCCGAATATCACTACGGTCACCTCTGAGGTGCTCCCCTCGGGGAGCTGTGCACGGATGCCAGTGCCTAGTCCACCCTTCAGTGCAATTTTGAAACTCTTTTTCTGGAATGGCCATCAGAGTGGTTGTCTGACAATGAAGTTGGAGAACTCAGCCTAGACAAAGTGCTGTGTTCCTTATTGCTGAATATTACTGCTACAGTCACCAGATGGCCAGGGGAAGTACTACAAAGGTGACCATAATGATATTCAGCAATGAGGCATATAAGCACTTTTTCTAGGATGAGCTCACAAACTTAATTGTCCAACCTCACGCATCAGAAATAAATGCCTGCCTAACCCCCCTCTCAATGTATGCGTTGGTTTTAATGGTAATGTAGAGGGGTTAGCACATGAAGGCTTTGCCCAGTATTTTATTAACTGAAACAAAATCCAAGGAACATAAAGTCTAGCTGAGCTCTACTATTTCCATTATTCCCCATTCTTTGGGGAAGGGATAAAAACACCAGAAGCTACAAAGACTGAAGAGGTCATGTAAAGGGGAGAGTGAGAAATTAAACTGAAATCTGGAACCAACAGCCTATGGTTGAGCTCTATACGGTCACCTTCCCATAAGTACTCAGAAAAAAATTAATTTCAGTTAAATTAATACTTCCCTGAAATAGAACGTATTGTAAATAATATTCTTCAACCAAAAGGATGACAGTATTGGAGAATCATTGTACCTCATTTGCATAAAGCACAGCATTTCCTTATCAGCCTGTTTAATTCCTCAGGGAGAACAGAGAAGTTTTTTCCCTCTTTTTATTATAGGCATAAAATTAATTGCATGTTTAATGAGGCTCTTATAAATTTAAATTTGGCTCATTTAAATTTGATTTTTCATAGTGGTTTATCAGCCAGCCACAATTACTTTTCTGACAGGAAAATGGAGTGCTTGAATAGAGTTCCGGAAATATTTTCCATCCATGGAGAAAGGATTGGCTGTGATGATAGTTGGCTAAAAGCTCTGATGAGGGGATTAGCGCAGACAGGTATAATGAGGGCTGACGCCTGCTCTTAAAAACTGCCGAGACTCTTAGGCCTGTGACATCACCAGCTTGAAATGAAAGTTACCCTAAAAAATAAACCAATTTCTGGAACGATTCTTATGTAGGGAGGAGGTAAAGAAAAGACAGAATCAGCAAGCAAACACATAATAGGGTATCACCAGGGTGACAAGGGCGAGCGATCTGCACCCTTGCGGACTTGTCTCTCCACCTGGGTTCTTTGCCCTTTTTGGTGACTCAGTTCTCTAATCTGTATTGGGGCTGACACTATTTACCACTTCCAGAACTGTTGCTCCAGAGAGCACCATGTAAGATAGTCTACAGAAATGTAATGTGTTGATTATACTGTGGCGTTAACACCTGGAAAGTTTCTGATGGAGAGAGTCAAAGACTAAACATCCAACGTTTTCACCAGACTCTCTGGTTTTGGAGGGAGGCACTTACTGAATGTTCTGGCCTTACTGTATGCCTGGCACTGGAGACAAGTGGTGTCATTTCTTTTGATGACGTTCCCCTTCCCATGGAGTCTCTTCCAATAGTTCCGTGTGGGCTGAAAGTAACTAGGGGATGCAACCCTAAATAACTGGGTGCTACTGTAACTGTGCATGACTTTAGCCACTTACCATTAGCATGCACTGGGTCCCAACTTGATCCTGAAATTGAGCCAGACTCTGGGCCTTAAAGATGCGCAGACTCTGGGCCTTAAAGATGCTCTCATCCCCACAGAGCTCTCAATGTATTTTGAGAACATTGACTGGTATAGATTTATTGTTCAAAGTCATAACGTGTACCCGTAAATGATGATATGGAGCTCACACCTGTATCCCTAGCACTTTGGGAGGCTGAGGGAGGAGGCTCTGTAGAGGCCAGGAGGTCAAGATCAACACCGTCAACATAGCAAGACCCCATCTCTAAAAAAATACAAAAATTACCTAGGTGTAGTGGTACACACTTGCAGTCTAGTCCCAGTTACCTGGGAGGCTGAGTCAGGAGGATTTCTTAAGCCCAGAAATTTGAGTCTGCAGTGAGCTATGGTGATGCTATTTCACTGTAGCCTGGGCAATGGAGTAAGACCCTGCCTTAGGAAGGGAAAAAAATGACATAGACTTGGTACAAAGTTCAGTCTCACCGTATCTGGTCATTCCTTACCTCTCAATTCTTCATTTGGAAAGCACTCTTACTTGATATTTGGGCAGAAATTCAAGTGTACCAGGCCAGTGATCCCTACTCTGACCCTGAAGCAGAGTGAAAAGGGATTGTGCCCCTAAGAGATGCTAGCCCCTCACTTTGAAAAATCTCCACCACAGAAAGTCTTGTAATCCATGGGATGAATTTTGGCTTCTATGGGAGATTTAAAAGCATTGTTGGGGCTGGGGGAGGGGAGTAAAGAGGACTAGATTAAGCAGGTGAAGTAATATGATGGATTCCATTTTGAACTGATGGCCTTTCCTGCTGAGAGTGGCCTGAAGGAGGCAGAATGCAAGAAAGGACAGAGCCCAGTGAGGAGGGTGCTGCAGCCCGTCAAGTCTAAAGTTGGCAAGAAGTGCGCAAATTTGGGACATGGTGTATGAGTAGAAATAATCAGACTTAATGTTGTGCTGGATATAGAGGGTGTGGAAGTCAGACTAATCAGGGAGGACGCTGAGATTTTTGACCTGAGAAGTAAGAGGTCTGTTAACAAAGATGGGGAAGTTGGGGAAGGGGTGGGTGGGAGGGGGTGGGCGCCATGGCAAGTCTGAAGGGCTCATCCCGCATGGCACTCCCGGCAGCTGGGTGGACCAGGCTGGTACCCAGAGGAGGTAAGGGACAGGGTTTGGGGTCCAGGTCGCTGATTCTGGCTGGTTTGCATGACCTTACAGCACCCCTTTGCCTCTTTGAGCCTCAGTTTCCTCATCTGTCCAAAGACAAAATGGAGCTAGATGATCCTCCTGCTTTTGTTTTATGATTTTAGAAGTGTTTCTTTTTTTTTATGTTGTCAAATTTATTACATTTATCTTTTAAGGGATAAATGTATGTTTATTCTTTTCTTATTTTTATTTTTTATTAAGTCATAAAGACATAGATCATGTACACATTGATGCTTTATGGGGTACAATGTGCTGATTTTATATACAATTAGGAATGCCTGCTTTGATCTTTCATGTGACTGCAAACCAAATCAGGAATTTCTGCCTTTTTCTATGTGGATGCTTTCATCTTGTAGAAATAGGTAAATCATAGCAATACAAAGTCATGTTCAGCAAATGTCTCCTTAAAAACCATTTCGTGTTTAGCTCTAATAAACAAGTAGTCCTGTTCTATCTCTATTTAGCACATGTTTGTTGAGCAGTGGCTTGAAGCTAGATATTGTTTTCAGTTTAATTAGACGTGTAAAAATGCATCAACCTTGACCCCCAAGGGGCAGCTGGGCAGCTACTCACACCCTGCAGAGGTGAGTGCTTCAGCGAATGCCCTCGTTAAAGGCCATTAGCCGTTAACCTGTCCCTCATCAGTAACCCAGCGTCTGTGGACGGTGAATACCAGAGAAAAGGGGAAATGCTCCCTGCCCTTCAGGACATCTAGAAGTTGACTGGTCACTCCTCAGAAGCCCACAGGGCAATAAATTACCTTAAGAAAATCATTTTCAAGTAACTACAGTAAAAAGAAATCTAAGCCCATCTTTTTTTTTTTGCAGTTTTTGGCCCGGGGCTGGGTTTGAACCCGCCACCTCCAGCATATGGGGCCGGCACCCTACTCCTTTGAGCCACAAGTGCTGCCCTAAGTCCACTTTTTTTTTAAGGTTCTTAAAAAAGTTTAACAGGAATCACATTGTTTAGAAGGTTAACCTGGATTCACTTAAGCCTATTTCAGAAGTTTTTAAGGAAATAACGCTTATTCCAGACAGAAGCAGATTGGCCTGGTTAGAGGTAGAGAGGGGGTGGTCCTGAACAAGGTCAGGACCTGAACAAGGAGACCAGGAGCTCGGAGATTCCGCAAGGTGCCTATTTAAATTTGCTGTGTCCATTACCTTTTACAAACCTGACCTGCATTTCCTTTCTATCTGGCTTGCAGAAATCATGTTGCCTTAGAGAATGTACACTGTTTCCCTGTGTAATTTCTAGTATCTTCTCAGCAGACCTCTCATTCATAATTTAAGTCACATTTGCTTTGTGTTAAAAAGGATGTGATGGATTAGAACATATTCAGTATGCTGCTGCACCTCCCACCGTGAGACGTGATGGCCCGAGCAGGGGAGGGAAGTTTACATGAACGCGGCACACGGGGAGGAATCCTGGGTGCAGCCGTTTGTTCAGACGTGGATTCTTTAGTTGAAAAATCATAAATTATCTTTGTCTTCTAAAGTTCAGACGAGTAGGTTCTAACATTTGTAATTGATTAAAAAATTTCAAGCAGCGCTTTCTCAGATCGTTTTTCTTTCCCACTCCTAAAACAATGACTGTGAATTTGTGTTTTGCATCAGGTGACAAGACTTGTTCCCCTGCAAGGCGACTGTAGACATAGACGCAGCTTGTCACCGTGTAAGCGCACCGATGATTCACTCATTCTTACGCGCAATGTAACTTACCAAACTAGTGCTATTTCTTTACAGGAGGCGGTAAAGGAATTTGATCTGGTAAATTCTCACATCGGCTCAAATTGGGGCTTAATGAATGTTTGAGGAATGGCTAAATGAATAAATTGAATTTTACAGGCTGAGAGGACCAGGGCATTCTATAGGAGCATAATAAATAGATTAGAGGATTTTCTTTTCCCTTTTTGTGAATCTAAGGAAAGCAGTGGCCCTAACTGGATCTAAGTCTAGAACTTTAGGTTTATTGGAAGGGCTTTTCATAAGAATTTAAAAAAGAAAAAAACGTAACATTAGGCAGAAGGCAAGCTCTTTTTTCAGCCTTTAAGGTAACTCAAGGAGCTGAAGACATCTAGCACTCAAGTAGCCTGAATGCTCCATGGGTGTGGACTTCTGCCTTCCCTCCACCAGGGCTTCTCCAATTTAACGTGGGTATGAATCTCCAACATTGAATAAGGTGCCTTCATCACAGACTGAATCTTCATGAAACCGAAGGACAGTGGTTTGTAAACCTCTCTAAAACTTATTTTGAATCTCATCTCACGTCCTTCCTTTTCTGCCAAATTCATTCCACTTTCAGCCTGCTTAGAAATATCCTCTGAGCTGATTCTTTTGTACTCACAAGGCTTTACGTTTTGCTAAAACCATGGATGGACTGCAAACTAACACCAAGAATGATGCCACAATAATAAATTATCCCCAATTCTTCAGTCTCAAAAGTTTGAAATTTTTGTGTTGAAGTTTGAATCTGGGTCAGCTTGAATTTCAGCTGAACTGGTTTATTCATCCTCAGAGATTAGTTCCTAAGAGAAGTCCTAACTTCTTTGAAGGGAGAGGGAATTTAAGGTATTTCTATTATGTTGTATGAAGGCCGAAGAAAGCTGATTTAAAAAAGAGAGAATTCTAAAATTATGCACGCACTGGTAAATACCAAAGCAATGGAGATTCAGGAAAGACTGTAATAGCAGACTCTCTCCTTCTTCTCTTTGATTGTTGATTGTTGTTTTCTGAATCTCTCTTTTCTAATCAGTTAGATTAGAAAAACAAAGGAAATTATAAAAGGAACATTTCAGGTAGCATGCTGCTGTGCTCTTCATTCACCTTGGTACTTGCTCTAAGCCAACTTAGGCTGTCCCTGACCAGCTCTGTGGTAGAGGAGCCCAGGCATCGGGGCGAAGGCTATGCAGGAATGGTTAACAGTATGAGAGAGATGCAGGTTCGGCTTGGCTTTACAGTGCCCAGTGGGACAGTAGGACTGGAGAAGGGATTCCGTTTGGGTGAGAATTCGGAAGCTTTCTCTAGGGCTGGATGGTGTTATGGTGGCCTCAGAATGTCACTTACTTACTTAGTAAAAAGTGTCCTCGCCATAGAATGAAGACTAACAGTTGTCTTATAAGAACAATGAGGATGAGGATGATGAAAACAATAGCAATAATAATGTTCATTAAGTGCTTATTATGTGATGGACCCTGTGCTCAATGTGAATTATATAATTTATGGTCTATTCTAGAGTTAACAAGGCAGAGGTTAACTATTTTAAGGAACTTGTACAAAGTCACTCAGTTCATAAACGACAGAGCTGGAGCTTGAACAAAGATCTGTCTGACTGCAAAGCTCATTTACTTATAAATATATTAAAAATCAGTTAGTGAAAAATACCAAACTCATACAAGGACTTCGAAAACAGTGGAATGATATAATTACTACTGTGCACACATAGAAATGTACTGTTTGTGCATTTTATATATATTCTGAGATCTGGCTTCAAAATTCTCCACTTTAAATGAAATGGCTGTGATTGAATAGTGGAATTATTGTTTTTCTATCGCAAGTTTAAGGTATTTCAGAGGAATCCTGTTTATAGATGAATAAAGATCTTCAACTGTCAACGTGGAATAAATATTCTTGAACATCATCTTTCAGGTTAGGCTCATGGAGAGCAAAATGTTTATAATGAAATGACATCTGGGAGAGATAGTTGCAACACAGACAGTCAACCAAGGTAGAATGTTGCTAATATACAGAGACTGCTGCAAATTATTATGTCCGAGACAACTCAGAAGGAAAAAAATCCAAGAACATGAAGAGTTAATTCCCATTTAAAAAAAAACACACACAAGTTATTAAAAGAGCCTCAGACTCACTAATAATACCAGTTCTTCTAACAGATTTGTATATTCTTTGTAGAAAATAATGTTGAGTTAAATATGTAAAATTCTTTAACCTAACAATGCCACTTCCAGAATCTATCCTATTTACATAACTACCCATCACTGTTGTAATTCTTTATAGTGCCAGAAACTAAAAATAATCCATAAATAAAGTCTGTATGGAAAATGTATTTTAATCAAGAAAAAAAAATCAAGGTTTGGGCTAATATTTCTAGCCTGCTTCTATTGATTTAATACATACGTTGTCATTTTTTCCACTGTTCTAAGCATTTTGTTTTTTTCATTTTTTAAAAAAACTTTCAGACTATTATAGGAGTATATTGAGCATAAGTGAGTATTCAGATGGATGGATAGATAAATAAGATAGGGATTGGAGGCACAAGGTGGGAGGGATGTGTGTCAGGAAATCAAACTGTGAAGGGTGGGAGGAAGTGAGATTAGATGAACAAAAGGAGGACGTTACTTCCTTATTTATTTGCTTTCTTTCTTGTTCTTTTCTTTTCTTTTCTTTTGTTAATCAGGCTCAGGCAAGGTTCAGAGTCGCCACCCCTGGTATGTGGGGCCAGCGCACAGCAGCCAGCTTATTTATTTTTGTTTATGCATTTAATTTTGTTTTCTTAAGAGTCTAGTGCTGAGCAGAGATATTTTTATTTTTGAAGTGCTGCGAGTACATTTTATGATTTTGGTGATGTTAGCATTTTATAAATGAAATTCTGTTTTAAAAAGGAGAGACTCACCTATCTTAATAAGTAATCATAAATCGAAAGTTACAAAAATCCTGGATTTTTGTGAAATATGCATAGATAGTGCATGGCTGGTGATAATTTGACTTATGATTTTTCAATTTTATAATAGTGTGAAAGCAACGTATATTCAGTGTAAACTCTATTTTAAGTGCCCATAGAAGCATTTTCTTTTTCACCTTCAGAATGGTGTTGAAGAAATTACACGTGATAGGCGACACTGTATTGTAAGATAGGATTTGTGTTAGATGATTTTGCGCAACTGTAGGCACAGGTGTTTTAAGCGTGTTCAAGGTAGGCTCCGCTAGACTATCTGGTGGGGTAGGTGTCCCAAATGCATTTTTGATTTATAATCGTTTCAATTGAAGATGAGTTTATTGAGACATTATCCCATCGTAAGTCAGGAAGCGCCTGAACTTTGCAAACTAGTAAAGCCCCTTTTAACAGTTTTCCTTCATTGAAAAAGTTATATCCATGAAACATGTATAAAGACAAGCAAGAAATAAATAAACATTACTCAGAATTCTTACAACCCTCATGATGCAGGTAGTAGGATTCCATTCCATAATTCTTGTAGACTATTTTATTTCCTGTTTATTTCTCACCTATACAAAGTTTTGAATACCATTGCAAAAGTAATGGCGCTGGGAATCTTACTCATTGGAAATTTTCTACAAGTGTTTTTTTCTATGCATATGTATATACATTTCAAAAAACATGGGGTGTTCTCAAAATATGTCCATGGAAGAACTTGGACACAAATATTCATAGCAGCATTATTCGTAACAGCCAAGCACTGAAAACAAAGCAAATACACAGTAACTAATATACAGATAGATAAAATGTGCTGGTATTTCATAAAGTGGAATATTAACCTGGCAAAAAAAGGAATAAAGGACTGATGTAACATCACTGAGCATCATGCTAAGTGAAAGAAGCTGGTCGCGAAATATCACATAGGATTTCATGTATATGAATGTCCAGAAATCTGTAGAGACAAAAAGTACATCTGTGGTTGCTTGGAGCTATGGGACGACTCAAGAAAGGTATGAAAAGTGACTTCTAGTGGGTACAAAGTTCTTCATGGGAAAACAAAAAAGGTTGAACATTCGATTACAGTGATGGCTGAACAAGTCTGTAATTAGACTCAGAACCAATGAATTGAACTTTTTAAATGGGTGAGCTTTTATGGTCCATACCTCGTCTCTCAATAAAGCTTTTTAAAAAGTCTTATGGAAGCGTTTCATAATATTAGTAGTAGCTGTAAATGAGAAGAGGCCTAAGCCATCCAGACTATTTCTTTTGAGGTCCCATTCTGCCCTCTCCATCTCTGAGTTCCCTACACATTTAGCCTCAGAAACAAACTTGGATGATTGTGGTTTTTTCCAAATAGCATGTTTTTCCTTCTAATGTGTTTTGAAAAGATTTTGTTGATACTTTACTTGAACCAGCAGCCCCCAAACAAAAATAAAATTAAAGAAGCTGAACCCACCTTCAATGATATGCTTCCTTGATAGTCCTCTTTCTGTTTCCGCTCTGCCAAGAAAAAGAAGAGAATGACTTTGAGTGGGGGAGTGCTTTTGTTTTTTTAAACTTCTGTTTCAGAAGAGCACAAGAACAATCATTCTGACTTAGAATGAGATGCTCATTTTATACCCTGTTCTTAGCAAATTCTGCACCACAGGAGGCTAAGGAGAGAAGGCCAGGGAGCACCACCGAAAGTCCTTTTTCTTTGGAGATCCCAGGAGATGAAGTTTTTCTTTGGAGACTCCAGGAGATGAATTAGCTATGACTGTCACTGTCACCGCACCAGTCATAGTGCTCAGCACCAGCTCAAGGTAGCAACAGCTCAGCCATACACACCTTGTCTGTATATAATTTGAGACATGGTTTGACCTTCTCACCTTGTTCTCAGTCTAAAGCAAAAAAAAAAAGTTTTGACACAGGTGTGTGAGTTTTTTGTAAGATTGCCAGGCTGGGCTATCAGGAGCTTTTCTGAGAAAAGACGCACATTTGGAAGTTCCTTTAGACTTCTAAGAAACATTAACAACTATTTTCCTTCAAAATGTGATGAACCAAGTCTTCCTTAAATCAGTATCCTGAGAAGACACACCCTTACTCGTAAGGACTTTTGTCTTCTCAGGCAATTTCACGTTGGGGCAAATGAGAGAGAAATAGGTTCCTTGAATCTTACAGTATCAATAAAATGTTTCTTCAATATAAATACTTTTGGAGGGCAGAGCCTGTGGCTCAAAGGAGTAGAGCGCTGACCCCATATGCTGGAGGTGGTGGGTTCAAACCCAGCCCCAGCCAAAAACTGCAAAAAATAAAATAAAATAAATAAAAACGATGCTCTAAAAAAATAAATAAATACGTTTGGCTGCTTCTTTGAAAAATACAGTAGTTTATCTTTCACCTTGTGAACGTATTTCTTTTCTGTATATTTTGTCAGTATGTTAGATAATATCACAGACACATATGTGGTAGTAATATACTACATAAAGTTTCTTATAGATGGTCTTCTGTCCTGCTCCTTTCTAAACTATAGGCAAAATTTTGTGTACCATTGGCCAGCAATGGCTCTGTGAATCAAAACACAGATAATGGAAATCCCCATTTCTCATAGGCACCATGTTGCTTTATTTTTGTATGAGTTAGAATAGGAGTAAAGATCCAAATTCCATCTTCTGTCTTCGTATCATCATAAACATGTTCAAAAACAACAAAATATTAAGTGTGTGTCTCTGTATGTGTCCGTATACACATGAGTGTTTTCATCAGAAGCTTCTAAAAGAAGGTTTGACTTCTACCTCCAATTTTTCAAAGTCTCTTTCTTATTAATGAAGAGGAGGTAAATAAGGTTTTGTTTGTTTTTGTTTTTTGTTAAGACTCCAGCATTCTTTGAGATTTCCATTTCTCAAAGATGGAAAAGAACAGTGCCAACAGATTCTCCAGTCTGTGAAAGAGCTCGCTGCTTCCTTACATACTTGTCAAGGAGGCCGGCCTTCTAAGGCTTGCTGAATAATGTAAGTACCAGTTCAAACGCCAGCAGGCCCAGCAGAAGCCAACTTGTCCTCTGAAATTGGTCCTGCATCCCGCAGCACAGTGAACACCTCTCTTTCATCTGGCTTGACAGGGAGTGATGTAGGTAGCTCCGTGCTATTCTCCAATGAGATGGTCCTTTTGATCAGCACTTTCTGAGCCCTCCACAGAGATGATCAGAGACTCGTACAAGGAGCCAGACAAGATAATTTTATCTTTGCATTCTGAAGAAGTCTCTGGATGTTGGCAGATTTGAGTTGCTTTTCTTCTGGGATGCTTTGTGCTTATTTTCCTTTCCTGAAGTTTGAACTCTATTTTGGAAATGGTTCTAAGTATGAGGCTGGTATTTGAAAAGTCTCCATGAATCGCTTAGTAACAAGTGACCACATGCTTCGCACTAAATTTTTTTCAAAGTATCTTGCTAAAATTGAATCATAGGCTAATTGCTATTTCCTTAGCATAAGAAAAAAAAAATCCCTCTCTCTAAGCCAATTAACTTTAGTAGGCTAGATATAAAATAGATGCCTTAAAGCATAAAAGCAGAAACTACTGGCTGTTTCCTATTTTGGAGGAAAAATAAAAGATATTTAACTTACTTTCCACCCCAGTAGAGTTTGGTTGTTATGACCAGGCTGGACCTCCTGTATATCAAACAGACAAATACAGAGAAAGAATAAATGCATTGCAGGTTATTGTATTGAGTCATTTATTATCATAGCACCAGAGAGAATTTGTTGTTGTAGCCCACATTTTAAAAAATTGGTAAAGTGATACATTGTTAATTCATGTCACTGAAATGGAAGGACATAGGGAAGCTAGTGAATGGGACTGAAAGTCAGATCCTAGTGACAGAAGTTGAAGGGAGATGATGTTTGCCTGGGGTGGGTGGAGGATCAAAAGGACAGTGACAGCCAGCCCTGGACAGTGGTCAAGGTGGAGGTGAACAGGGGGGGCGGGGGGTGAGTGTGGAGGGTCAGAAATGGCAAATGGGGATAAAGTGAAAGGGCTCAAAGGCTGGATTATTTTAGTAGCTCAAGAGAATAAACACAGTGAAAGCTTATGTGATGTCAGGCCTGATGCTGACTTGCATGTAAACTTTTCCTGGAAGGAAGTCCTCTCTCTGCCAAGGACAGTGGCCCCTGAGGGTCTGAGTTATTATCCACTTTAACCATTACATTTGCAGGTAGGAACTGCCTCCATAGAAATATGAATGATGAAGGAAATTATATTAGTCAATACAGATTCGGAATGAATAAGAGAAACATTTCTTTTGAGCATCTCCTTAAATGGAAACATTGATTTGGGAAAACAGCCCCGAAGTCCTTAACTTGAGCTTCTACCATTTGACTTCTAAGGGATTGAAATGGCAGAATCTTGTCAGCAAACTTATGGGCAATGAAACTGTAGCATTATGATCATGGAATAAGAAACACGTCTTGAGAACTCCAGGCATATCAGGAGGCAGGCTTCAGTGCAATTTAGTTTCCCTAGGTGTGTAATTCGATTGAACTGGTCTGGGAAAAAAATAACAAATTATCTGCGATTCAAAGGTTGAGTTCAATCTTCAGGAGTATTTGAAATAAGGCATTTATAATTCCATCAGCGGTAGACTCGACGCCGTGGGGCTCTCAGGTACAACAGCCGGGCATGAGTAACGATAGCCAATGGGGAACGATGGTGACAATGCTGACAACTTGGCTGCAACAACAGCAACAAAAAATTGTTGAAAATGTCAGCAACCCCATCCTGCTGAAGTTAATTCCCCGAGAAGTAATTTGACTCAGTGTAATGGAAGGTCTACAGGCATATGTACCTGGAGATTACACACTGCAAATGGGCTGATGTACTTTCCAGGTTAATACATCAACCTCATGATACGTTTATAACAGCAATCTGCCACAGGGGAGCCAGTCCTCCTTCAGCAAATACTTTCAACCTTCAGTGGAAAGCTAGATAGAACATTATTTAAAAAAGAACGCAGCCCTTTTGATCATTCGGAGCAGTTGGTCCTGCCAAAGCTGCACATGCTACCCAAATGCCACCATGCACTTGGGTTTCCAAAGCTGGGCTCCCTGTAAGATGTTTGGCCTACATGGGTGAGCACAGTAACATTCATGTGCCAAAAGCAAGGGCAGACGGCAGCTGGGAAAATCATCCCTGCCTCCCACAGAGACTCTCAGAGCAAGACTTCTGAGTGGGCGGAGGATGACAATGTATTTCACAGTGACACAGAACAGCCTTCAAAACACTTTTGCACACTTTATCTTGATTTATCAGCACGGCACTCCATGAGCAGTTATGCTGTCCATTTCATAGGTGGGGACATTGAGAATCACAGAAGAGAAGTCGCTTACCCTGGACAGCACAGGTAGCAACTGGTGGCCCCAGGACTAGCAGCCAAGGGTCCACGCTGAAACAGCTTTTATAGGCTCAGTGCTACAGTTACGTGGCCTATCTCTCCACCAGTCTCATGGGGGAACTGTGAGCTGATGGGAACATTCTACAGTATGGTGGCAGCTCGAGCTCTTATTTGCAAGACTGGACGGCAGTTGGTGGTGTATTGATAGACTCTGCAGTTGTGGGGAGTGGTGATGTGATATTCTCTGGGTGCTGAGGGGCCTACAGCTGCTGCACCAGTGCTACCCTGACCCCTCGGGGGTGCTCTGGAGGCCTACCCCTTGCTGCAGACCGACTGGACTTTTAGGGGACTCTCTGTAGGGGTTGAATTGTGTCTCCCTCCCTCCCTCCTCCTGTGTTAAAGTCCTAAGCTCCAGCCCCTCAGAATGTGAGGCTCTTGCAGATGTAATTAGCAAAGATGAGGTCACATTGGTGGGGGGGTGGGTCTTGCACAGAAGATGCACAGCACATGGGGGGTGGGGGAGACCAGGAGAAGGCAGAGGCAGGGCTGCAGGGCTGCAGTCACAAGCTGAGAAGTCTCAAGGGTCACTGGCAACCAGCAGAAGTGGGAAGAAGCAAGGAAGAATTGTACCTGGAAGTTTAGAGGGAGCATGGCTCTGCCAACACCTTGGACTTATAGCCTCTAGAACTTTGCAAGAATACTTTCTTATTTATTCTCCTTTCCTCCTCCTCCTCCCACTCCTTCTCCTTGTTCTTTTTCTTTTTTTGAGACATTCTCTGTCGTCCTCTGAGGACCATGGCATGAGCCTAGCATACTGCAACCTCGGACTCCTGGGCTCAAGTGATCCTCCTGCCTCAGCCTCCCGAGTAGCTGGGGCTACAGGTACATGCCACACACCTGGCTAATTATTTTCCTATTTTTAGTAGAGATGAGGTCTCACTCTTTCCCAGGCTGGCTTGAATGCCTGACCTCAAGTGATCCTCCCTACTCAGCCTCCCAGAGTGCTAGGATTATAGATGTGAGCCACGGGGCCTGGTGAAGGATAACCCTCTGTTCCAAGCCACCCAGTTTGCGGTACTTTGTGGCGGTGGCTCTAGGAAGCTGAAACAGCCCCTCTTTAGGCGGGGATGGATTTGCCAACATTCTGAGTGGGAAAGTAACTCAGGCAAGGTGGAGAACTGGGTGGGAACATGAATCCTTCCCCATATGTAAGGTGGAAGGTGGTTTTCTATTACCATCCTTACAGTTCCCTGGGTGGGGGAGGAGAAGGGAGAAAGAGAATGTAGGTCACCAAACTTTATTTGCTCATCGCTCCATAAATATCTGGTTTTCCATTTCCACACAGCCCTCTATTCCTACCAGAAGCTGATCTCAGAGCGAGGAATAGGCCGCGCTGAGCGTATATGGAGCTCCCTCATTTCACCTTTTGCGGGGAGTTTAAATTACGTATGTGAAAGCCTGATAAACTGCTCTTGATCTCTGCTCTGTGAGAATCTCCATGTTTCCTAGAGTAAGTTTTAGAAAATACACACTGAGTATCCTGCCTGAGTACAAAGCTCTTTGCATGGTCACCTTCCCCGACACTATAGCACTGTCACTTGTGTGGCAATCAGCACATATTGTGGCAGAGCAGGGGAGGACCCCGAGCGGGCCTGGTGGTCTTTGCTGGGCTTGGCCTAACACTGCTTGTGCTGGGAGGAAGGGGCTGTGTGTCTGACATCCCGGTGAGAGGCAGGGGATCGCCTCTACCCCACAGCAGAAATTGGGGCTGCCTTATGACCACTGGCTTTGGCTACGGATGGCGAGGGGATGAGATGTATAAGCACAGCCCCTGTGTTTCAGGGAGGGACCTCTCAAGGATTGCAGACAAAGCACTTTCCCGAATACCCAGATTACAGGGCCCCTGAGCACACACGAGGGGCGCTGACTATGTGCCCAGAGAAGAAAGCTTTGGTCCATTTACCCCAAGGGTGTTTTGGTTCATTACTTCTTTGTGTCCAGAGCTACTAATAAAAGGAATATAAAACATAAATACAGGCATATAGATAATCAGCTTCATGTCAGCTCACTTCCTTCACGAGATTACCATGAACAGCAGCCAGAAGCCATGACAATGTCACTTTCTTTTATGCACAAATATCTCATGATTTCCCTCACTGCTCAGCCCCGTCGTCATTCATTGTGATCAGTGACTAGTCCATGATTTTTGCAGTATAAGTAATGAACTAGCTGGCATTTATTTCCAAGCCACTGTAAGTCTTTTTTGTTTTTTTACTAGGAATTGCCTTTTTTATTTTAAGTCTTTTGGTCAGGTGTCATGAGATTTTATGTTCCTTTCTCTGGTGCAAACCGTAAGTCTTCTACAAGACACACAAACAGGATAAATGCAGTACCTCCAGCCCTTCTTCTTAATGATGCTGCCCAGAATCACTTCGGCCCTGTGGAGGAAACAGACAACATCTTAGGAGACAGTGCCCTGGCGAAGCAAGAGTCACCCCCACCCCAGAGCCCTTCCTTGCTTGAACTCTTGGCGTCTACACATCCTGAAAATAGAAGCCACTCTCAGCTAGGCACAGAGTTTCTGCTGTTTCTGCTTGTGCCTGCAGAATCCTGCTCTGGAGTGTTTCAGAAGTACCTGCCAAGCCCTGCCATGCTGGCAGGAGACCACTGCAGCCTGCCGCTAAGAAACAGCAGAGTCATCTGGCAGCGTGGCATTTCTGAACCTCTATCCCGTATATAAATATCCTGCTAGGCGACGTTTAATGGGACTCCAGGTGTTCCTTCTCCTTGCTGTGGAGCGATTTAGTCATGACAGGGAGGACCCCCAGCCCTCACACTGTTTAAACAGGAAATATTGACTCCTAGGTGATCCTGCAGGATAAACTAAGATCCCATGTGAGGATTTAGAAGTTCCAAAGGCCAGGGCTGCAGAAGCAGTGATCCACTAGCAAGGTCCTGGGTCCCAGTGACAAACTTTGTCATAGGGGCAAGATAGAAGGAGATGTAAGGAAGTGGGCCGGGTCATGGAGGGGCGTGTACTGAAGAGTCCACTGTCCTCTCCCCTTCCCCTGCTCCAGCTGGGACCCAAGAATGAGGAAACAAAAACATTCTTCTATGCCCCTCTCAGTTGTGAGAAGCACTGGCCTCCCAGAGGCTGCAAGCTGCGCCTCTGTCCATGAGGGCGCTGGAGGTGGGAGTTACCATGTGCGGTTTCAAGTCTTACCTGCAAGTTCTCTCTGTGTTAGAGTGCACACCCTGCCACAAGCTGTGACATGGGGGGGCTGTGGAGTTCACCCCGAGCAGACAGGCACTGGGGGCCACACTGATGCCCTTGTCACTTCTCCCTGTCTGTCTCCCCGGCCTTTCACCACAGGAACATATGAACTACACCCTGACAATCCAGCAGTCATTAAGCGCCCTAGTGATCCTTCGCAGCAGGAATGCAGAGCTTGCCAACAGCTCCGACAGGCCTGCTACTCCTCCTTTTCTCTGCCTTAGCCTGTTTTGGCAGCAGGCAGGGAAGAGGAAGAGGTAGGCAGGGGAGAGGAGGAGGTGGGCTCTAAGGCTTTTACTTTCTCTCCTTGGATTCAATAGGAAGCCTCTGAGATGTGGGCTTGGAACCTCCTCGATTGTTCTTAGACATAGACCTGTTCTTGAAACTCAGGAACCCCACAAGGAAAATGCATTTTGGCCAGGTGTGTTAGATCAAGCTGATTTACCGAGGCTGGTGGTCTGACTGCAGCCCTCACCTGGAAGGAGGGGAAGGCAGCCACGTTCCGCTCCGTGGCATGTGGAGGTGACTGCTCCACGGTCCTGGCAGACAGTTTAGTTTCCTGGGCAGCTATTTAGTTTCTCTGATTCTGGGAGTGGACGTTCATGTTCACAGTCGGAGGCCAGGGAGCCCCAGACTTATTCCGGAATGTGCTCATTATGCCGGGATCAGGATGGCATGGACCTTGGGGTCTGGCCTATGGGTCCAAGAGAAGGGCTGCATGTGGATGTGTCTCATGCAAAAGAAGTGAAGACCCTCCGCAGCCCTCTCCACCCCCAGAATGGGCTCAAAAATATCCTCTTATAAAGAGTGTTGGATTTCTTGTCATCTCTGGGGATCCCTGCTTTGATGTCTGATCTTCCTGTCATGCAAGTATGGGGACAGGATAGCAAACAGGAAAAGCAGTCCCTGCTCCCCCAGAGGGAGTACGCCCCAGTGGAGGAGGCCGAGGAACTAATTGTTGTGGTGGTGATAGAGCAAGACTAGCTTGCAAACACCATCTTGCAATCTGTTCATTCATTTAGTCACTCGAATGTTCAACTAACACTTCTCCATGTCCACAGCTGCCTCTCTGGCACCAGCCTCCCCAGTCCCTCAAGTACACCACAGCCTTTGCTCTCTGGTGCCACCTCCCTCTAGTCCATTTCTTTTTTGAGACAGAGTCCCACTTTGTCACCCTCAGTAGAGTGCTGTGGTGTCATAGTTCACAGCAACCTCAAACTCTTGGGTTCAAGCAATTCTTTTGCCTCAGCTTCCCAAGTAGCTGGGACTACAGCTACCCACCACAACGTCCGGCTATTTTTAGAGACAAGGTCTTGCTCTTATTCAGGCTCATCTTGAACCAGTAAGCTTAGGCAATCCACCTATCTCAGTCTCCCAGAGTGCTGGGATTACAGGCATGAGCCACCACACCTGGCCGCCTCCAGTCCATTTTTTATGCAGGGACCAGAGGAAGAAAGGTTTGGGTCACAAGGGAAAGCCAGAGATGGTTAGTGTCCCCAGCTCCAGTGATGGTGGCTGAGGGAGGGATGGAGGGAGCACAGCAGTGCCTCCCCCACGTGGGGGACAGCAGACCCTCTCAACATGTCAGATATGGCTGGAAAGACTCTCTTGGTTTCACAGATGCCACCTGAGTGACACAAGCAGGTCCTGACTTACTTTCCAGCAGCGTAGACCTCAGCAGTGTCAAAGAGATTGACGCCACTTTCATAGGCGATTGTCATCAGCCGCTCCGCGACCTGCAAGGGGGTGAGAAGGCCAGTCAGAAAGGCCAGACGCTTTCCAACCCTGGGGAGCAACTTTGAATCCTCTACTGGTTTCTAAGAGCACGGGAATTGTCACTAACCACTCCTGGTTTTCCTCAGTTGTAGTGAAGAGAGAGAGAGAAAGTAGGGCAGAAGCGTGCTCGTCCTCAGCCACAGCGGGCACTCAGGGATTGCCGTCAAGGCTGGGATCAAGTCTGCCTCAGAGCCGTGACTGGTAGATCTGTGTCTCTTACTCTGCTGGGAAGACTGGTTTGACAGCACTGTCTGTGGCATTATAATCTCTGACAAAGAGGGTCATCTGTGTCACTGGTGCCTCCATTCCTCAACTCCTTTCTCCAAGCCAATAGGTTTTGGCAGCTGGGTGACTCCTGACCTGAAAGCTTGTGACTTTTCCCCTGAGGCTTAGACAGAACTGTGACTGTTGTAAAACTCCTGACACTTGCAGTTCAGCAAAATCCCATCACAGAGTGGCCACGGAGCCAACACCACGAGGAAGCGAGTGCCCTGACCTGCCAGGACCTGCTCCTCGGGGCCCAGCCTGAGGGCCCCTGGCTCCTGGCTTTGTGGTACTGACCACAAGTGTCACGTGTGACAGAAGAGTAGAGGATAGTTATGCATGAGAGCTTGAGGGGTGGTCAGAGAGGGACAGTGGCAAGTCACAGTGGAAAGGGGCCGTTCTTTCATTTGACTGGGGGACATATTAGTCGTTTGAAAAACTACACACCTCACAAATAATGACAATTGATTTTTCCATTATATTTTTGATGGTAGGCCCAAGCTGCTTCATCAGCGTTTCCAAGATAAACGGTTTGTTCTGTCACTTTGAAAACTGGGCTGCCAAGAAAACTGTTAAACCGGCAAGATGGAATCCACACCGATCCTTTGGCCCAACAGCAGCGAAAGTGCTATGACTCCTTTTCATTTGCTACCATTGTGACATTTATCCTAACTGGAGATCAGAAGTTAAGACGAGCAGTTTTCGGAATTATAGCCATCCTGTGTTTCAGAGATTATCCTGCTTATGTTGTCTATTAGCCTGTGGAAGTCTCTACAATTACATCTTGCCTGGAGGAAAATTTTCAGATAAGATGAAGAATTCTGGATGGAGATCTGGGCAAAACGATGTTCCTAACCACAGGATTTGAAGTCCTGGATGTGGAATATGGGGGGAAAATCCCCCACTAAGTCTGCAGACCGGTTTCTGGTCTTGAGAGTGTCACATTTACTAGCTAAATAAGCTTAAGCAAATCACCTGACCTCTCTGTATTTCAGTTTACTTATCAGCAAAACGGGGATGATTTTGTTCGGGAATCTCCTCCTGCCCACCCCTCACCCTCCATCCCGACCCCTCTCACCCCCCAAGCCAGAAGGCCTCTGCAGCCTGACCTCACCTCCCTCCAACCTGACCTCACCTCCCTCCAACCTGGTGGGCCCCACAGGAAGTGGCTCTGCTCATGGGACACATTCAGACTAGTGAGGTGTGGGGAGAGATTTGCCGAAGATGCCCAGGAATATTTTCCTTGTTTTTATTCTCATTTTTCTAGATGCAAACACTTCCCCTGGAGTTACTGCTCTAATTGCAGCCTAGAATTCTTACAGCCATCCTACTACCCAGAGAAGGGCCACAGGGCCAGGAGATTCCTTGGGAAAGGAATGGACATCACTGAGTCAGGCCTGAAACTTGCTCGACTTCTCCACTTTTAGTTTAAAAGTCAAAAATAACTTTTCTCTTATTGGTTAAGCTGATTTGGGTTGGATTTATTGTTAGCTGCAATTAAAGGTGCCCTAACTACCTTACAGATCAAAAAATGTAAATAACACCCTGAAAACTAAGTGTTCTAAGAGGGTAATATCCTCTGATCATTACTTTCAAAAATTAATATTTGTGAGTCACATTTATCTTGGTTTTACGATGAACCAAATCATCTTTGAGAGGCACCTTACAAAGTTAGGTCATTTGCTGTTTGAATCCTTTTAATAAAGCCCCTACTAAGTGGTAATTCAACATACAGTTGAGCTCTCCCAGCGACAGGGACCTCCCCCTCCCAAGGTGGTGCTGACAGTTACGTCACTCTGCACACCTTGGGGTGACCATCCCTGCTACTCCATCTTTGCACTGCTCTGTGTTGAGATTATGTGAAGCCAGAGTGGAAACAGGTACATCTGTGGAGGTGAACTCACTGCTATTGGCTCACATTTTTGCTATGTGGAAATAGCTGAGCTCCGGCCACCGAAGCCTGGGTGAGGCTGGGTCTGGCTGTGTATCTCCTCCTGGGGAGGGCACCTCCCTGGGAATTAGGAGAGCCACAGCTGCTGTCTAGAAGTACAATCGCTATTTGTCTGGTCTGCATCTATCATGAGCACCTCTGCAGCCATTCATAATGGCTTTATGGCATAATGTTTAGTATCGGAATTTTGAAATGATTCATCTCAGAGGTCATCTCTGCACACTCAGACCTGGCTGAGCTGGACTCATTGCCAGCAGCAGCACACACTGTCGAGACTCGGGGAAGTGAGCACTTGCACTTGACTCGCTGCCTAGAAAGGAAGAGACGTTTGTCTCTCCCCACTCCCAGCACCATCCCAGGCAGCTACAGGTTACACACGTGCTGGACACAGTAGATTATTAATTGTCATCCTTTCTCCCTACTTGCCACCTATTTTGTGTTGGCTGAAAGTCTGTGGCCATTTGTCAAACTATCTGTGGCTTTGCTTCTGTGCCAGCTCCACATACCCTTCCCTTAAGTGGATTTGAATCGGATTTATTGCTTTTTATTGTTAGCTGCAATTAAAGGTGCCCTAACTACCTTACAGATCAAAAAATGTAAATAACACTCAAGTCAGAGCACCCAAGGCAGACTCTGTGAAGGCCACCCAGCTCCATCTTCAGAACTGAAGAACTTTTTCCGCCAGCTGCTGGCAATGCTGTCATCAAATGGCCTTTACCTGTCAGATCTTTTGGGAAATTGCACTTGGCTAGAGTCACCGAGGTGAGACCTGCTTCCCAGTCAGCCTCTATCTGATGACTGGTTAGCACGAGGGCTGTTAAGGCCCAGTCCCCGTGTGCCAACTGGGGACACATTGCAGGACTATGTCATGGTCAGAGCTCCCGGGGGCTGCTGAGTCATTGTCGAGACTGCCTCATGGCCAAGGTCTCTGCCTGGTCAAGGCTGCCCCTGCCCTGCCCTGTGCTGACCCTGAGGGCGCTATCTGATGACTGTCCCACATGTCACTCTCCACCTCAGGGTGCATCTGCAGGAACCCCCATGAGACAAGCCCTCTAAGGGCACCTGGGCCTGGCACTGGGAATAGGCCTTTAGATGACAAGAATACTCAGCTCAGACTCGTCCCCACATCTGCGGAGTAGCACTGGCGACTTTGGGAGCAGTGGGGACAGCCTCTGTTCCTCCAAGTGGCTTCTTCAGAATGAAAGCAAGAAGAACCTTTGTAACAGGCTGGTTCTGGGCCTGGCACCTGGCTAAGCACTTTACAGGAATTGCCTCATTAATCTTAACCACAATCTTGCTGAGTGGACGGTATTTGCATTTTACTGTCTGGCAACTGTTCGTAAATATAGATGTTAGTAAATCAGGTTGGATAGAGGCGGAGTGGGACGTGGTCCACTCAGAGCCACTCTCCCTGAGTCCTCAGTGGCCTGGCAGGTAGGGACCTGGGGCATTGTCCTCAGGGGGTCTTGGCACTCAGTGCCTGTAGCCCTCACTTATGCCGCCAAGGGGGTCCTTAAAGGCAATAGCCAAAATATCAGTTCAGTAAGCACTGTGTTGAATGTGTAAATAAGGACCTCAGGGAATTTTATGGGTGATAGCACTGCTGTTTACAGAGTGTCTGCTCCCTCCTAGACAGAGGGCAACACACGTGTCTGACATGCGTGATGTGTCAATCCTTTCAACAGACCTTCAAGGGCAGCAGCTGCGTCCCATCTTACACAGGAGGAACTGAGGCTGAGAGAGGTTGGATGCACTTGCCCAAGTCTGGTGACCAAATGCCCAGTTTGCCCAGGACTGAGAGAATTTCTGTTGTGCAGGCATCAGCGCTAAAACTGAGGAAGTCCTGCGCCGAAGGGGATCAGTTGGTCACTCTCAAACTAAATACATACATAAAACAAAGCCGTGTAATGACAGCAATGAAATCTTTTCGTGAAATGACTAATGTTAATTGCAAACAATTCATTCTCTCACTGTTCAGCCTGCACACATAATAGACTGACAGGCTGTGAAGAGTCCACATGTGAAGAATAGAAGAGGCCAGATAGAGTCGACCATCACCTTTGAGTCAGTCTTAACCATTTCCTGTGCTGTGCACCCCGCTCCCCCACAGGGTCCCGACTGTACAGCCCTCTCTGCCTTTTCTTTTTTCAGCATAACAGAGGCCAACAGTAACTTACCTCATCTGAAATTTGACCTCCAAATGTCACCCATGTTCCTAGAAAAGAAAAAAGAAATTTGCACATTATTCATAACCATTTTCCTAATATTATGCATAGTAGGAGATGCCTCTTACCAGGGACACCTTAGTAGACTGCACGGGTACTTTACAAGATGCTCGGATGAGGGGCACATGTGGGCTGCACCTGCGCCCCTTCCCTAAGTATTCTAGAAAGGGTCCGTGTCTCCCTGGAGGAAGCAGTGCCTTTTCTTCATTCGAAGCCACCATATATGCTAATGGCAGCCCTGTTCTAAAAGATGCTTTTTCTTTTGCTATAAGAAGATGAATGTCAGTGGACAAGGTCTTGCTGTCACTTAGCTAAGAAGCTACTTGTTTGGAAAGTGAAGGTGGACCTTGGGTGGTGGCTCTTCCTGCCTTTGCGTCCCCAATGGGGCTGTGTTTTGTATTCGTATTACCCTTCAGAAGGAACCCTCTCAGCTGTCCTTCCAGTGCCCACTTCCAAGACCCAAGGGACGAGACTCATGTACCTTCTCTGCTATGACCCACTATTCCAAAATGGAAATCTCTATTGGTTGTGGATTTGGGAAAGCAAAGGAAGAGAGGAATGACCAGCTGCCAAAGACTTGCATTTGTGACGCAAGAGGGACACAGACATGGAGTGGACCCGTGCCGTGCCAGAGTGGTGTCGTGGGGGCACATGGAGAAACTCTGCTGGAAACGTATTTCCCAGTTTAGAATGACAGCCATAGCTACCATTTATGGAACACTTTCCCAATACTAGATAGTGTGCTAAGAATTTTTTGTGTTCTATTGCCAATCATTTTGACAAACTTATAAGACACTAGACTTGCAAAGATACTTTTATTATCCTTATTTCCAGGGGAGGAATCAAATATTAACCCATCTCCTAGGGAAGATACTCAGGATTCCCCAAACATGACTGGCTTAAGACGGGTGTCCTTTTTGCCATACCACACTACCTCATTAGAATATTCCCAAATTAATCGGAGCATTTTTTGTTTGTTTGTTTTTTGAGACAGAGTCTCACTCTGTTGCCCTGGGTAGAGTGCTGTGGTGTCACAGCTCACATGGACTTCAAACTCTTGGTTCAAGTCACCCTTTTGCCTCAGCCTTGGAGTAGCTGGGACTATAGGTACCTGCCACAGGCCCAGCTAGTTATTCTTTTTTTTAAGAGAGTCTCACTCTGTTGCCTCAGACTAGGGCGCCATGGTCTCATAGCTCACAGCAACCTCAAACTACTGGGCTTAAGCCTCCCAGGTAGCTGGGACTACAGGCTTCTGCCACAACGCCTGGCTAATTTTTCTACTTTTAGTGGAGACAGGATCTCAGGGTCTCACTCTTGCTCAGGCTGGTCTCCAACTCCTGAGCTCAAGCAATCCATCTGCCTCAGCCTCCCACAGTGCTAGGATTATGGGCGTGAGCCACCGCACCTGGCCTAATTATAACATTTAGATGTCATGCTCTATAGAAATATGTTGGTGCAATTGCACCTTTTCCTTGAGTCTTCAGGGACTAAAACAAAAGTAGGGCATAAATTCTTTCCCTGGTACCCTGGGTACGTCCCCAGAAGTTGCCAACTGGCAGCCCCCAAGTTGCACTCAGCTTGTGGACCTGTTTATCTTGGCTGGAATGGTATTGACCCACTTTATTATTTGAATACATTTTTGAATAAGTTACCAACATTTAAAAAATTAGGGAATTTTTATTAAAATGTTTTGATTTTCAGCTTCTCTTAATAATGAAGAGCTGGACATTCCCCACCTCGGGGGAGCAGCATGGTCTGTGGAAGGATCCGTCCTGCCCAATTAGTTAAAGTCCCTGCATCTTCCCGCTGTGTTCCCAGCCCTGAAGCCAAACAGCAGCTGCTGGATATACTATGATGTTTACTGCTGTTTTCTAGCTGTAAAATGAATAGAAAAATAAACCTGTGCATCTCCTAAAAAAGAGAATTGAGTATAAAAAAGAAAAACATAGGAGTAAAATTTTTTTTTTTTTTTTGGATTGAAAGCTCCAAACAAAGAATGTTTGCACAGAAAAGTTACATCTTAAGGAACCGTAATGAAAGCAGCCCTGGCTGGCACACAGAAAAGATGGGCGTCGGGAAACTTAAGGAACTGAAGATGCGGCAGTGTTTGTCTCTGAAAAAGAATAAAAGGAGTGAGCTGCTGTCAAATACAGTCCCTGATTAAGTGCAAAAAATTGCCTGGGCGTCAAAACCATTTTACAGACAACACATTTATAAAAGAGTCTCTTTTGAATGTACAGAAATTACGTGTCCAGAGCATCAACAAGCATTTGCAAATGTTAGTCTAACCAGCAACTCTGTAGCTCAGGGTGTTAAAAATATGACTGAGAGCTTTCAGGCCAAGTTAAATGATGGGTGGCGTTTTCTCCTGCAGTAAATGAGAACACGGATATAAAGAACAGCCCGCTGCTAACTATTGATTTTTGGTGCAGTGAGAATTTTGAAGAGGTCCAAGAGCTTTTGGACAAGGAGCCCACGAAAGGCAAAACACCGGGCAATGGCTTACTCATGTGATGAAAAGGTCGCAGGCCGCTGGATGCAGACCGCCCTGGTCAGTCACTGTGTTACTGAGGTTAGAGCTCCCGGGGGTGGGACTGATGTGGGGCCAGTCAAGTGACAGTCCAGAGGTGGCACTATTTTGTTGGGATACTATCCCTGAGACCATTCCTCATTCCTTAGGAACTGCTTTGGGCAAAAAAAGCAAAAATGGGACAAGCCGTGGATTCAGTAATTAATACCCCAAATTGGCTATTCTTCTATGTCTTGGAGCAGAATCAGGTCAGCATTTACTTAACGAACTTGCTGGCTTATTTGTGCTGCAATGCAGAAGAGATTTTTTAACCATTTATGTCATCCAAGGGAATAGTCCTGTTTCTACTTAGCAGAGAAGATTGGCCCAAAGTTCTGAGAGCTTCTTGCTGATGCTACAGTCGGTGTGCGCCTTAGGAATATTTGCGCATTCACAAGTGTTTACACAAATGTCTCCTTTGCTTCTCTCAGTCCTGCCAAAATAGAGTCTTTGGGAAATTCATTCGCCAAGGAATAATTTGGTCCATGGCTCTGCACTGAGATCAGTTTCCAAAAATGACCGTGATAGCCTAAAATTCATTCTTTAATATTATGCCATCAAAACCCAGATACTAAAAAAGTCCTCTGACTTCCAACTTCATGAAAATAAACTAGCGTCACATAGCTTACCTTTCTTAATTAATGTACGACAGTACAAATGAAGAGCCATGATTTGAAGTTATCGATCTGGAGCATAATACGGCACCGAAGCCGGAGCAGAAGGGCCTGCAGGGTAGTGCGCACAGCGTGGAGGAGTCACTCGCATGCCCAGGAGCATCTCTATCCCCAAAGTACCCTGAGACAACTACCCACTACCCTTGGCTGAAGGATCTAAAGCTGCCTTCTGTACATCACAGTGAAAAAGTACAGGGCCTGAAGGATGTCTGGGTGCAAAGGAAAAGAAATCAGGTTTCTAATTCCAAGTCAAAAGAAGTCATGAATTATAAAAGAAGAATATGGTGATAATTAAATGTTTTTCTTTTTCTATGAGTTCACAATTTTAAAAAATGAATGAATAATCACATATATTTACATAAAGTTACCTACCTAGACCGTAATTTAATAAAAATAAAGAGCTCATTTTTATTTCTGGGAGTTCGTTGTTCTTACATTCAGCTTCCTTGTTCACATGTACCAAACTGCCCGGCCCTTTCAACACTGGCTACTTATTTGTTTTCTACCTGATTGATCATAGAGTTTATATCTTTTATAAGAAAGTAAGCTGTGTGAGGGCTAGAACTGTATTTTATTCATTGTTATATTTCTACAGCCCTGGATAGAAGTAGGTCCCTACTAGATAGTTGGTAAGTGTTGGTTAAACTGAATTAAATGGTCCTTTGAAATATTATTAACCTTCATAATATTAGGATAATTTTCTGCCAAACAAACACATTTCTTTTCACTTGTAGGAAAATTAATAAGGCTTGTCAATAATTTTCAGTTCTTCTAGTCTCCCAATGATTGAAATGTTTGGGAGAAACGGTCAAAAAGGTCTCAGGAAGGCATTAGAGGGATAAGAATGGGCCGGCCAGGGCATCTCCCCGTCCGTGGGTACCTGCCCAGTCATGTCCCCTCCTGGAGAGGGGTCAGAGGCCTGGCTGCAAGATCTCCATCTAGGAAAGGCCGAGTAGCCTAGAGTAGGGCGGCTCTGCTGACCACCCCCGAGGAAGGGTTGTCTTTTACAAACAGGACACATCCCTTGCTGCTGGACAGAGCCTTAGCGCCAGCCTTCTAGATGGGCGGACTCTGTTTCTTGGCTTTTATTCTCTACTGTGCCCGACTGCAGAAGAGCTAAGGTGGTTTATTAGTTAATGTGATTCTCTAAAACCCTCTGTGACCATTTTCTTAACCACTTTTATCCCTCTAATGAGAACATGCCTTCCTGAGTCCTTGGATGTCATACGACCATTTCACTGTAAATCTCGAATTAGTGGGATATTACTTAGAAAGATAATTTTATCAAAATGACATTTATTATTTCCAACATTTTAGAAATGGAGGGAATATAAAGAGAACTGTTGAACTGCAATTGTGTCTTCTGATAAAACTCCTTCAGGCACCAAGGAATATATAATTAGAAAACCCTTGGGGTTCGCCTACCGTGGCATAAAAGTGGTCCATGAAACGTAAAATGAAGAAAGCCGCCTACACGCACTCACATACATGCAGACAACCACCAGGTAGGGAGTTACCTTTTGGTGATCAACAGGGTGACTGCTTCTTGCTTATTCAATTTTAGAAACACGCTTATCATTTAAACAGGCTCCTCACTTTGAGATGAAGAGACATTTAGACATTCCTATGTAGTAATGTTAACACCGTACATCATCATAGTCCAAATATCAAACCAGGAAATGAATGTTGGTGCAGAACTAGTCCCATAGGCCCTTTTTGAATTTCATTATCCTTTTCTCTGTTCCAG